GGTTCTTTGCAATATAGCCTTCTCCATGGTTGTGGCGAAACTTACCACTTCATGTGGAGGAACATTTGCAAGGAAGTAGGAGGAAAATTACACATTTAACTTCTAGGGCCATAGATCCAGGAATGGGTAAACTGAATGAGAACTTAAGGCATCAAACTAGAGCAAATTGCATCATGGCTGGTTGTGTTCAGAGCAAAAGAATACCAGAGTAATGCAACCAGTCAACAGAACATCATGATGTGGCAGGCTACAAAGTTTGAAATGACATGAATCTATGTAGCTAGGTTTCCACAGCTTAACCTGTTTTTATGTCCATGATATCAGTGAACTTGGCTAACCAAAAATAAGCATTCTTATTCAGGAGTGAGGGTCTCCATATGTGGAATTGTTAGGGAGCATCTATTTGATTTAAGTCTACATTGTACCTGAATCTGAATTGTCCTTGTAATGTAGACAAGCTGTTCCTCCAGTATTGCATTGATTTGGTTTAAGCTTATGCAGTCATGTGTGAACACTCCACATTGTCTTAAATCTGACTTTCAACAGTTGGAAGCTATTGTAAAATAAATTTTGTATGTTGTAAGAGTTTTATACTTCCATAATTGCATCCATTTTAAACTAAATTATTACTGTATCTTATTTTCAAGTAAACCGGTTCATGTAAATATGGGCTAATTATCTTTACTATAAAAAGATTGAAAATAAACCTTCGGTTGATTATGTCAATATATTCAGTTAAAATACAATTGTGCAACAATATTGTAACCCAACAAAAACAAGATGTTTAAAACAAAAATCACTTGAACGTGAGTTCAAATTTCAGTTTAATTAAAATGAGGGCTTATGTGCTTGATTCATTTTCTTCGCTTAATAATATGCTAAACACAATTAGTTTTATGAATGAACTGGAAAATAGTTTAGTTCTGTTGTAGCTTCTGTTAAATAGCTCTGTGGCAGCTTATCGAAATGACGGTTCTGATGGTTTGGTGGTAAAACTCCTAAATGAAATGCAGAACATAGCCCTCCATTGTAAAACCCTGTCACAATGGAGAAAACTGCTTAAATATGCTTAGTATTGTTCTATATCTGTTCTAAGAGTGGCATTCAATTAGCAAAGTGGTATGTAAGGGAGGCTTTTGAGAGTAAATGAGCAAAGAGTTGAGATGCTATAAGCAACTGTGAAGTGAAAGATTACATGGGTTACAATCCAGAGGCCAAATTATGACTTGTACGTTGGTGTAAATTCAGAGCAACGCTTTGAGGTTTTTTCATCAAAATAGCTGAACTTGACTAAAGTCACTAATGATTAGTTAGATCTATTCTGTAAGTTTTTAATAAGCTTGGCACAGTTAAACTACAAAAAGTCCTGCTTGAAGGCACATTTTTCTACTTTTTCTTCTCTTTTTCTTTTACATTTAATACAACTAAATCTTGAATAAGTGTCTTTTCCCTTCTCTCTCTCTTTTTTAAGCTGAATAGGAGGAGATGGCTGATTTTACAGTATTTTTGATGTTGAAGACACCATAAGGCCTAAGACTCTAGATTCCTTGTCATGGTAGATGGCTCAGAATTACTTTGGCTCCAATCAGTCCTCTCTGACATCACTTATAGTATGCTGATGGGTAAGGACTGTTTCTCACCAAAGGCAGAATTCCACAGGAGCACCTATACTCTACCTTCTTCTCGCCAGTACCCACTACTGCAGAGAGATGCCATAGTCTGAGCTTTAACTGCAAGATGGTGAAATTCAACTATATGATGCATAATCATGTTTTATTATGGCAGTATAAACAGTGCTGCCCATTTTCTGCAGATCTTAGCCCTTCCAATTATTTCTCAGTCAGCTTCTAATGTGAGTTTAAAGTTTTGGCTTAATTAAAGTACACAAAAGATTAAAGATTAAATTGACAGTTACCACCTTCCCACCTACCCAAGACCATCACAAAACATCAGGAAAAAATTGTGTGAACTGGGATAAAGCATTTTGATTGAAGGAACCTGAGCATCGAACAAACTTTTATATATCGATAGGCTAATCTAGAGTCTGACCATTTTAAGGACTTGGTGCAAAATCTACCTATCTTTGAAAAGACCTTTTTATTAAAAAAAAAAAAAAATCTTTGCAATACAAAGATCCCCTTTCTACCCAATACATCCTTATCAACCCAAACAAGCAATAACATATAAAACAATAAAAATCAAGAATCCTGCAGAAGAACTCTTACTCAAAGCTAACTGTGAGAGATCAGTGACTAATGCATTAGCAGGAATTGGGAGTTTTTGGTTCATTTTCCTGCCTCACCACAGAGTTCCTGTATGGGCTTGTGCAAACTCATTTAACCTTTCTATGCTTCAGTTTCATATCTGTAAAATGAGTATTATAGTACTTCCCTATTTCATCGATGTTAAGAGGACAAACACGTCAAAGATTGTGATGATAGTGAAAGAGATTACGGTGATGGGGGCCATAAAAGTACTCATATAGACAGACTTTGCTGTTGATTTTATGGAGCAGGCAATTGCAAGTTAGCCATATATAAAACCCTGAGGTTAATGAAAGATTAGTTTTTTACATTACATTAACAGTCTCCATGTTAATGTTTTCTGTAGTTTCCTTTTTAATGAGCGAAAGTGATTTTTTTAAAAATTACAGGCTAAGCTGTTCTATCTTATTTGCCAAGCTGCATAACTAATGACTTGCTGAATGATTTTTTAAATTAGTAGCTTGAGAGGATCAATCTCCAATAGTTTGTTGTGTGGATTTCAGACAGCATATAGCATTTTGTATCAATCAGCTTACAGTATTTCAGCTTGAAACAGTTTTTGCATATTTGTCAGACATCACGACTTCCGTACACACAGTTCAGTTACTACAGAAACTAATGTTGCTTCATGACTTGAAAAAAATATTCGTCTGAAAAAATTTACTTTTCAAAGAGTTTTAAGCTAAGTTTACACTTCAGTATGCATAGTATAGATACCTAAGATAGCTCATTTATCAGGCGTCACAACAACATGAAGCTATGCTTGTCCTACCATGCCTCCTCCACACTGCCACAGCTAGCCTCTTTCTAGTACCTAAGCTACCTTGGGTATCTTACTACTACACTATATAGTATGCTACAGTGTGGATAGATCTTTGTTTCTTAAATGTCTAAATAATTTTGGAGAATGGAGCTTAGGTTATGCATGGATGTTAACAGTTATCAGTATGGAATGAAACCAGTGCAAACTGTTAGGATGTAAGTAGCACGTCTATATGGTATACTAGAGATATACATGGAGTAAAACTTGTAATCGTAATCCTGTTTCATTCATTAAAATTACAGTGATTTAGATAATTTGCGCTGTTACTGGAGCAACCTAACAATTGTATTGTAACAGCTAATACACATTCCGAAATGATAACTCCTCCCTTTCGAAAGTAGTTGAAAGTTACTTTAAGGTTGGACAGATATGTTTTTATGGACTTTGCTGTTGAGAGAGTAGCCCCGCTCTCTCATGCTTGCTTTATGAATACCTGAATTGGCAGAGGAGATAGCTTGAGTCCTGAGCATGCCATGTTTTGTCATTCTTGGGCTCTGCAGATAGAGAGCTTGGGAGGCTTGGGTACTCATGGAGAGGTGTAAGTAAGTGGGGTTTGTTTTTGTCATTTTTGTAGTATTGCTTCAGACGCTGTAGCATTAGACTTAAGTTTCACTCTAGGTTCTTTTAAAATCTTTACATACTATTGCATATAGTGGTAACACACATCAAAAGAGAAAAATGATGAGATTATTGTACCAGAAATTTTACAAGGAATCTTTTGTAGAACAGACTACAAAACAACATGCTTCCCTTGTTATTACTGTTTTCAGGTTACCTGAGACAAAATATAGAAACCCATGTGAAAGATCGGGAGCAGGAAAAATCTTCCTGGATTTCATATCTTCAGAAATCATTAGTTATCCATTGGTGATTGGTGGCTGCTTTGAATTGTGAACATCATACAGTTATGATGATGTTTATAATGATGTAACTGCTAAAATTAATTTTATAATCACTATTTTCAATTCATTTTCATAATTTATTGTAAAACTGAGCTGCTTGATTCCTAACTGCTACACTAAACATATGAGCAAGCCCTTGACTCAGTTTTCAGGTATTTGAAATTCATAATAAAAACGTATATGATTCACTTATAATTTGTCTTTGTATAATGTGTTTGTTTCTGTACTGCATAGTTATACCTTTGGGTGCAGACAGAAGTGCAGCTCCCAGCTGTAATTCAGAACAATTTCTGAAAAACATTCTGAGTTACATTACCCCAGACCAAACAGAAATTCACTGCTGGTTCCAGGGCAGAGGGAAATCTAGTTGTGGGCTGGGAGCCTGTAGCTAGGTTCCCATAGCAATAGCCAGGCTCTCTGCCAGTGCTTGCTGTTTTCAGAAGGTGGCGGGGGGGAGCCAGTGAAAGGAACTTATTCTTGGGGTTCCTCAGCTGGTGCTGAAGGATAGGGTGGATGAATTGGAGCTCCCCCACCCTGGGGGGGGGAGGGGGGGCTCCAATACACCCACCCCACCCTCCAAGGGGGGTGAAAAAACCCTGTACTGAACTCCTTCCACTCCCTTACCCCCCTCCCATTCTGAAAACAGTAACGGGCTTGGCAGCTCTGTAGACACAAGTTAACAGAAGATGCTACATTTTGAAAGGTCTTTATCTGGTACCTCATGCAATGTGGAGTTAGCTTTTCACCCGATTGGCCATTTTTTTAAGCTGTCTGCAGCTGTGCACTTGTTTGGTCACAACTATAAACTACTTTCTGTGGCCAGATCAGATAAAAATTGTCACTTATGTCTGCATCCTTCAGGGTTAAAGAAAGATGACTAGAAACAGTTTATTTTATATTGCTAATAGTGGTGGACTTGTATAACAGATTATCTTAAAGGGTTTAGCTTTGATTCTGTTTTTTGCTGTTGTGAGAAAATGACTTTCCATTTTCCAATTTCATTTTCAACAGATCAGTCCTAACTTTGATGTGACTGATTTACAAACGCTTGATCCACCTGTCATAGATATCGGTTCTTCCTCATCTTTCAGTTCTCCGGTAAGTTTCCTGGGGAAAAAGGACAGAGCATAGTGTAAATTAACATATTAGTGGCAATATATATAGATATAGATATCTATATCTATATTTGCTAACTGGATAAAATATAGTCCCAGTCCAAAAAACAGTTTTATTGTTCAGAGTGTTAAATATCTTAGCCCTGATGCTAACATTTCCTTTCACAATTTTCAGTTAATGATAAAATGGTACAGTACTGAAGTTTTAATTTGGCATAAGTTTTGTGTCATGGTATTGAGGAGAAGCTAATTACTAGCTACTAAGATATTACAGTGTCCTATATATTTATACATTTAAGTTACAAAGCATTTGATTTTTCTAAGCTGAGTTACAGATAAGTAATATAATGGAAAACATAATGTATAACGTTGTTGACAGAGGGCCACTAATGTTTTAATTTTTGTCCTTTTATGGTGTCTGCTAGCTTTCCAGAAAAAAAAAGTGTGCTAAGAAAGAATGGTAGGATTAACTCCTCTTGGTATTAACTTTTCATGTAACACTGAAGTGTGGGAGGAAAGAAAGGCAATGTTTAAATGGTGCTTTCGTAGGAGGAGAAAAATGCACTCAGTGTTGGGTAATAAAAGATGTACTGTTCTGGAGTTAGGTTAAAATGAGTTCTTTTTCTAGGATGGAAACTTTTTTTTTCCCTTAAACAAAGCTCTGAAATAGTTCCACTGAATTTAATAATTTTGATTACATGGTTTGTAAAGAATATGTCTTGGGCAATGTTAAGCACATCGAGACTTATGGTAAGACTGAAAGAATGATTTTATGGATAGAAGTTGGACTAGGGAATGGATGAGAATTCTGCACTCTGCTCTGCTACAGGCTTTGTGATAGATCATTTGATGTGTTCTGTTTCCATAGACTAAATAGTGATAGTAACACCTATGCACAGATGGGTTGTGAGGATAATTCAATATTTGTTAAGCACTCTAAGATTTCTGGATGCAAAGCACTGTAAATCTTGGATTATTTACCTCCCTCTCCAATTCCCTGCTAAACTGAAATACCCACATAAAGTCTTAATATTTGGCAAAGATTGCTGTAACTTTGCATGCTTTGATACTTACTAGCAACATTGGTAGTGTGTTTTCAGTTCCAACACGGAAATAGCTCTTTAGTGTAACCGGGATCAAAATAAACCACTTTATTGCATACTTTTTTTTATAAGTATCATAAGTAGTTTTGACAGCTTAAGGGTTACTTAATGGGTAGGATAACTAATGAATTCCATGTATAATTTTTCGAAGCATGTTGCATTCCCTACTTCACACACATTCAACGCTGATCTTGGGGTTAAATTCTCTTAGTTAAAGGTAATAAAAATGATATTATAAAGATCCCCAGTCATTTTATTGTATCAGCTTCATCTTGTTCTTTTTCTTAAGTGGTCTAATACTGCTTTATGGAACATTTAGGCACAGATTTCATAATAGAGCTTTAATGATGAAATGAAAAGCTAATGTGCCACTTATAGTATCCCCTTCATTGTATTTTTTTTGGACAGCATCTTTCACTTTACAGCCTTTTATTAGACTTACTAGAAGAGAAATAACTGCAAAACACTGCCCTTTTGACTCTATCGGTAGTGAACTTCCTTGATTATTATCTTGTCCCTCTGCTGCTTGCCTATGGCTCTCACTGTACCACTCTATCATACTATACCATCCATTTTCAAACTTTCTCTTTCTTGGCCTATTCCCCTATCCTTATTACTTGCACCCCTTCACAGTTCCTAATTGTCTGCCTGCTTCTCCTCCTCCTCTCTATATGCCAATCTTTTCTCTTTTTCCATTGGCACAAATCCAGAGTCCACACTTCCATCCTCCTTTGCTATGGCCTTCTCATCTGTAATAACATTTGCCTCAACCTCAGCTTTTCTTCAGTCACCATCTGTTCACCCTCTGTTCCTTTTGTGCCACAGTCCCCAAATGCATGCCTATGGCCTTCCATCTTTATTCTTTTTGGCTCCGTAATTCCTCCTGTTTCTAAAAAAATCCACCATCTGCAATGTCTTCACATCTGGCTTTCATTCTGTAGCTAGCGATTACTTCTCCATTCTCACTAGACTGAATCAGACCTGAAGGTTGTGAGTATTTTGGGTTTTCCCTTTCCTACTTCTGCTCCAGGTTCTCTTCCCCCTCCCCATTTTTCCTTATTTTGGAGAGAACTACATGCAACTGTCCTTCCTCCGGGTTGCTGTCATCTATTGTCTACCCATCTCTTCCCTATCAGTTTTCCCTTCTGGCTTAATCTCCTGGCTCTCACTTTTCCTCTCCTAATGGTCACTCTTAGTGACTTAATTTTCTGTGTTTATGGCTTGTCTTGTCCCGCAGCTTCACATGTTCTATAGCTTTTGTTCAAATTTCCAACTTGTCATGAGATGTTCACTTGTCTTGGGGTGTAGACAATGTGTGTTTTCTTTGAAGTAATTTAACTTTATTCTGGGGAAAGCAAGGAGTCATGTCATAGTCATAGGATGTGAAAGGACCTCAAAGATAGTCTAGTGCAATCTTTTGTACAGATGCAGCATGCTGTATTCCTAAGCCATCCAGCTGAGGCCCAACAGGCTCCAAGTAGAATAAATGGTAAGGTCGCCTCCCACATCTTGCATATAAAACTTCTCTTAATTCAGCCCAAAGCTTTTTCATGACAGGATTGCATTGCTGACTCATGTTGAACTTCTAATGCACCATAACCCTTAGATTTTTCTCAACGATGCCACTGCCTAGTTGGTGTCCACCTATTTTATTTCCCATCCTTAGGTGCAGCATCTTATATTTTGCCTTTGTATTTCATTTGTTGTCTGCTTGCATTCTTGTTTTCTAGTTCTGCTAAAATCCTTTGAATTCTAATACCTCTGTGCAAGCCCCCTCTTCATTCTGTCATCTACAGACTTGATCATTAGGCTCCGTATTCAAGTCCTAAAAATGTTAAACAATACTGGACCAAGAACAGGCCCCTGCTCAAGTCCAGGTATATTGTATCCACTGTGTTCCTCTTATCCATAAACTAATTACCCTGTCAGAGAAGGAAATGCAGTTGATTTGGTATTGATTTGTTCTCATCAAATCCATGTTGGCTGCTACTGATCACTCCTTTCTCTTTCAGGTGTTTACAAATTGACTGTTTTATAATTTGCTTCAATATTGTATGGTTATTGAAGTCAGGCCAACTAATCTATAATTTTCCCAGGTCCTCCTCCTTTTTTTTATTTTTTAAAGATGGACACTATTTTAGTCTTCCTTCAGTCCTCTGGGAATTTGTCTGTTATCTATGACTTTGCCAGAGGCTCTGTGATTTTTTTTCAGCACTCTGCAATGATTTTCATCAGGCCCTGCTGACTTAAATTCATTCAAATTGGTTAAAAGCTCTCTGACATCTACTTACACTGATTCTCAGCCTTTCCCATTCTTTGTTTTATTGTTTGCTGTTTTCAGGTGTTGTTTTTTTTTAAGCAAAGATTGAGGGAAAGTTCCGTATTTTTGCGCATATATCCCGTGGGGTATACGCAATTTTACCAAAAAAAATGGATAGGTGCAGGGTATATGGGGGTGCGGGCTATTGACGGACTTTTTTTCGGCCAGGGCCGGGCAGGCTGGGCTGTGCTGCCGTGGGGGCTGGGGCCGGGGCGGGCTGCGCTGCCTCCCCACTGGGCCCGGGCAGGCCTGGCTGCACCTCTGCTGCTGCATGGGCCAGGGCCAGGGTCAGGGTGGGCTGCACCACCACTGTCGCGGGGGTCAGGGCCAGGGTGGGCTGTGCCGCCTCCCTGCTGGTCCCGGGCAGGCCGGGCTGCACCGCTGCTGCTGCATGGGCCAGGGCCAGGGTCAGGGTGGGCTGCACCACCACTGTCGCGGGGGTCAGGGCCAGGGTGGGCTGTGCCGCCTCCCTGCTGGTCCCGGGCAGGCCGGGCTGCACCGCCTCCCTGTGAATATACCGCTGCGGGGAATACACGGGTGTGGCATATACACGGATTAATTTATGAAAATATAATTTTCCGTGGGTTATATGTGGGTGTGGCTTATACCCATGGGCGGGCTATATGCGTGAAAATATGGTAGTCGGTAAGCCACTTCAGTCCCTGCAGCTTCTGTTAATAGATCACCCTCACTGTTAAACAATGGGCCAACAATTTCCCTGATTTATTTTTTTAGTCTGACATTTGTAGAACCCCTCTTCACTGTTTAACATCCCTTTCCATAGCTCACTCCACTGTGAATGACTAACCAAGTAACTTTGAGTAACTTTGTTGGCTAGTCAGCAAGCTCACTCAAGTTCCATATTGTCTAAACCAGGGCGCTCCATTTGGCAACCCATGGGCTGCATGCAGTCCATGCAGGGGTTAACATGTGGCTCTAGGTTCCCACATGGCTGCCATTGCTGCTATTGCTTTGGCTATAGCAGCAGCCAGGGTTTAGGGCCTATGTGCATACATGGAGCATGCAGCTTAGGGGGCCCATGGCCCCCAATAGTGCAGCCCCTGTTCTTGTGGCCTGTGAGATGTGTGCCCCCTGGCTGTTTTGAAGTTAGACCTGATCTAAACCTTTAAAGATTTTATTTAGGGGTAGCTGTATAAACTGTGTAGGCCCTAGCCCCACTGCACTGGCCCTGGCATTTGAAAAATGGATTGTTGTGACCACCAAAGTATATGGGGTATGGTCTTCCTCAACCAAGAATCATTGTACCACTTGGGAGGGAGGGGATATCAAATCTCCCTAAATTTAATTGGACAAGGTTCACAAGAAATGGGAGGGCTGCCCTCACTTCTCTTTCTAGACCCTTTCCTCCTTATCTCCAGGTTCCTTGTTGAGTTCCTTTCCTAGAGACGTTAGCAGTTCATGTGTTTGGGAAAGTATTATGGTACCATTCTGAAGGGAAGTTCTAACAGAGCCAAGAGGTATTCCCTCCTATGTGGTAAGCTCACCAAAGCCAATTTACCTTTAATTAATTACATTTTCAAGTTTATTTAATTTAAATTA